GATCCTTTGCCCAAATGGCTCCACCAAGCTCCTAAGGCAGCCAGAAGACAGATGTCCCCCTCCTTTGCCTCCCACCAGCCCCACCCCAGGGCAATTCCAATTACCACTTGATCTTCATTCGTTCATTCAACAGTTAGTACGTGCCAACCATATGCCAAACCTGGTGCTGGGTGTTCAGGACCCCAGGTCAAGAGCCACCCGCTCTGCCATCTCTGAGCTCATCTCCCAGTGCTTGTCAAAAGGGGGACAGAAAAGAACACAGGCGATTTCAGCACAAGATGGCAGCATCTGCCTCACTCTTCTCAAGACCTTCTGTCAAGTCTGAAAGGGAAGACATCCTTGATTCCTCTTTTCCTCAGTCCTGCCTCTGAAAGACTGCCCAGCACTGCCCACCCCTCCTGGTCTGCTCTGCCATGCCCTGGCAATCATCACCACCGCCTGCACAGCAATAATCCCACCCACCTGCTCCACTCGTGCCCCCTCCAACCCAGGGTCAGCTTTCAAAAACAGAAATGGGGTCATGCGCCCCCCTACTTAACAGTGCCTCAGTGGCTTCCCACACTCCCTTACCACCGGTTCCAGCCCCACTGGCCTCTCCTCCCCTCCTGTTGCCCCCAGGGCTGCCCTTTCTCATCCCTCAGGTCTCTGCTTAAAAGCCACTGCCTCCAGGTACCTTCCCTGACTGCTGTTCTGGCTCAGTGTGGAGGATCAAAGAGGGCTGCAAGTCCTTTGATGGGAGAAGGGTTTTCTTTCCTGTCTCCTTGAAGTGGAGCTTGGGCTGAGAGGCAGTGCTGGGCCAGTTCCAGACCTCGCCTTGCAGACTGGGGCTTTCCCACGGCTCTCTTGGGGTCCTGAGCTACAGTTCAGACACCCAGCTGAAATGCTAGGCACAGAGGCCCTGACACCACACAGGGAAGGGGGCAGCCCAGCTGGGCCCAGCCTTGCAGCCATCCCCACCAAAGCTCCAGGCACATGGGTGAAGCCATCTTGGACTCCAGCCCAGACCAGCCACCAGCTGGAGATCACTCGGTGATCCCAGTCAAAGCCCCATAAAGTGGAAAAATCACGCGACTGAGGCCTGTCCAAATTCCTGACCCACTAAACCATGAGGTACTGCGTTTTAGTACTAAGTATTGCTGTTACACAGAATAAATAACCAGAACATTCTGCATTATATTTACTTCCATCATAGCACCTCCTTGGGCAGCTATATATATTTTTTTGATTGCCCGAGCAGATAAAGAGCAAATGGAGGAGCACTGAACTTAGAATCAAGAGACCTGAGTTCTTGTTATGGACTGAACATCTGGGTCCCCTTAAAAGTCGTATGTTGAAACCCTACGCCCAGTGTGACGGTATCAGGTGGCGGGGCCTTTGGCAGGTAATTAGGATTTGAGCAGAGCCCTCATGAATGGGATTAGTGCCCTTAGAAGAGTCAGGAGAGAGCTTGCCTGCTCTCTCTGCTCTCTACCACGTGAAGACACAATGAGAATCAGCGGTCTGCACGCTGAGAGAGCTCTCATCAGACCCCAGCCATGCTGGCACCCTGTCAGGGCTAGGCTCACTGGGGCTGAGCTCCCTGTGGCACATGATTCAAAGAAAGGTTCAGGTGGTGGCTCCGAGGGTTTACCTGGGGCAGGTCGAACATTTGGAGGACGATACCATCACCATCTATTTCTTTTCTACCATCACATATCACACACACTGAGGACCTCTTATTTTCCTGGGCTGTGCTGTGTGCTGAAACACCTAGATTAACAGGACACAGTCCCTGCTCTCAGATACTGTCCCTTCTCTTGAGAGGGGGCATGCCCACAGTTGGTACAGTCGGGGCAGGCACCCAATCCCTCTGGCCATGTCCTTTGAACTCTGCCACCTGCTTGCTCTTCAGGCCTCAATGTTTAAGGCCTGAGTCTGACCCAGTGCTTCCTCTGTGTGCCCATAATATTCTGTATTTGTTGATTTGCTTATTTAGCCAGTATTTACTGAGTACCTACGAAGTGCCAGGCCCTGATTTATCGTAGGAAACAAGACAGGTGGTTCCTGCCATGGTGGGATCTCCCATCTAGCGGGAGAGATAGAGGAACAACCAAACATGAAAAAAAGAAAAGAAAGAAACTATCAAATGATTGCTCTGGTGGACTTCCAGCTTCTAGCACAGTGAGAAATCGGTTGACAAGCCACCTGGTCTATGGTACTTGGTTACAGCAGCCGAGTGAACTAAGACAGTTGCCATCCCAGCTCGGCCACTCACTTGCTGGGCTATGTTGGGCAACTCAATTCCCTCTCTAAACAAAATCTCTCAGCCAGAGTAGGTTTTACAGACCAAGTACGTTTCCTCCCTTCCTTGCTCCTGCTCATCCACAAATACCCCATCTCTGTCTGGCACTGGGCCCACTGCAGTGGGAATAAAATAACCAGATCTGGGCCCTGCCCTCGAGGCCCTGAGAGGCTACCTGCCAGAGAGAATGAATGAAGTAACTGTAAGACAGCAAGACAAGCCTTCTCTGGACAGCAGGACGAAGGACCCAGAGCCCAGCACAGATCCTGTTCACTGAGCTCCAAAGAGGCAGCCAGGGGTCAGCACTGCTTGGCCCTGGGGTCAAAGGGCAAGTCCAGGCATCCCTTAGAGACTCCTGCTTCCAAAAGCCACATTAGCATGGTGCAGAGGGCCTATACCAGCTGCACTGGCCTGGGCCCACGCCCCAATTAGACTTTCATAGCGTCTCCCGCAGCCTGCTTGGCCCGACTACCAGCTGGAGCTCCTGTTCCGTCTGGTGGCCTCCGGTTAATGAACTCGTGAGGGGCTGGCCGAGCTCATTACAGGCGATGCGAGGGAACAGGGGACCCCCCCGCCCACGCTCCCCCATTTCATGTTCACACTGAAAATACGAAGGGAGGAGACGGGCAGGAGCTGAGGCCACAACCTGACCACACAGCCCTGGATGGCTCCAGAGACGGCTCAGCCAGAGACAAGGGTTTCCGTGCGTGTGTCTGTATCTCTGGTTTTAGGGGAGCGTTCTCAGGCTACACCCGGCCCTTTCTTCTCTCAGGCCAACGAGGCAGAATGAGAATGACAGTTCAAATCTGTCTCCTTGCAATGACTGGTCCATAGACATGTCTGGACAAGCTGCTTTCTCAGAGCTTCACTGTCCTCAGCTTTAAGGTAGGGCAGTAACCCCCACCCGGCCCCAAGTGCTCAACTACTGCCCTCAGTAAACTGTCACTGCTGCTGTTATGACAAAAAGATAGGCCGGAGAAGGCACCAAAATGTGAGCAGCGCTTGCTTCTGAGGGGCAGGACTGCGTGAGTGACTTTTTCCCTCCCATTTTTCTGTATTTCCTAAATTATATACAATGAGCATTTTACTTTCATCATTTGGAAAGAAAAAAAAAGAAACTTTTCTCAAAAAAAAAAAAAATCTATCAGAAAAATGAGATTATATGTGTGGAAGGGCCTAGACAGTGCCTGGGAGGACGTTATCAATAGAAGCTTCCTCCTGCAGGCTAAGTTTGAATAAATGAGATTGGGTAGAAAACCAAGTGTGGTATTTACGAAGAGGTAATGAACTTTTGCTCTTTGATAAAGCGATTTCCACAAAAGTGAGTATTCAAATGCTGTGGCTCAGACGAGGGGAGTTGTTTACAAGAGTTTAAAGGAAGAGCGCTCCCCGGCCAGAGCAGAAGGCAAAAAAATATAGGGAGGAAGGTGGAAGCAAGCTAGGGTCCACTGACAGGTGAACAGATAAACACGATGTGCTGCATACACCCAATGGAATATTACTCAGCCTTAAAAAGGGCACAGGCTACCATTTGGAGAAAGCTAGAGGACATTATACTAAGTGAAATAAGCCAGACACAAAAGGGCCACTACTGTATGATTTCACTTCTCTGAGGTCCCTACAGTAGTGAGATTCATAGATACAGCAAGTCAAATGGTGGTTGCCAGGGATTCGAGGGGGAGGGAATGGGGAGTTAGTGTTTCACGCGAATGGAGTTGCCTATTCGCCAGATGAAAAGCACTGTGGGGGTGTATTATAGTGACGGTTGCACAACAGTGTGAGTATCCTTCACGCTACATAACTATACACTTAAAAATGGTTAAGACGGTAGATTTTATATTAGGTGTGTTTTACCACAATTTTTTTAAATGTAGAGAGAAAAACAGGATCACACCCAGAGGAAGGAGGAGTGGGTCAGAGGGTTGGAGCAAGTTGCTGATTCCCTGTGGTTGAGGGCTACTGGCTGGAGAGACGACAGGTGGAGGAGAAGGTCCTGGGAGCATGGCAGAGGGAGGGACAGCCACAGAGTGGCACCCTGCCCAGTGAGCGCTGTCCCGGTGAGGTTGCTACCTCCTACCTGCACTTAGGAGGCTGGCCCCAGTGGGTTCAGGGCAAAGAGGTTTTGTTGCTGGAAGACTCAGAGGCAGCCCACGTCAATGCCTGAGGGGATCCGAGCCCACAAACCCAGAGTATGGAGTGTGAGAAATCAGGACCCAGGGAGTTTGTGTATTATAAATAAACAAGGCAGAGAAAGAGCCCCCAGCACCGATACTCCAGGGGTGTAAGGAAGGTGCATTGAGCATCAGTTCCATGGAGAAGAGATTCTGAGATCCCTGTGCTGAGGGAATTGGGAAGTGGACTGGCTGCCCCCCCCCCCCCCATAAAAGGGTCCAGATGTCCTGAAAGGAGGGGGGAGGTCACCTTAGCCCAAATGAAGACTAACACAATGCCTGGGTCTTGGTAGGATAATAGCAACAGCAAGGACAATTTACTGAGCATTTCCTGTCTGCCACAAGTACTTTTCTCATTCATTCTCTGCAGCATCCTTATGCGGGAGAACTATCTCTATCCTCACTTTCGGAGGAGGAAGAAGCCGGGCACAGGGGTCCATAACCTGCACTCCCAGGGCCTTAAAAGCACACCGGTCGGCCTCCAGTGAGTCTTCGCCTCCTTTCTGCTTTGCTGCCTCCCCTCGCCCCGGCCCCGGTCCCCTCCTCACTTGAACTGGTGCTCGCGGGAACTGCGGATCTTGGAGGAGAACCGCTCGGCCAGCTTCTCCAGGCTGCGGGAGTACTCGAGCTCAATCTCAGCTTTCCGGCGGAAGAACTCCTGGAGGTCCTGGAGCAGCTGCAGGCGGGACTCGGACTGCTGCTCCAGGCATTTGAACTGCTCCACCAGCTGCGTGCGGATCTCTGCGGGCAGAGGCAAGGGGCAGCGGGCGTTAGGCTGTGGTGGGCACCGCGGTGGGACCCACCCGGCTGACCCAGGGCCCCTGGGCGCAGGCACTGCGATTCCTGCAGCCCCCCTCCCCACCGCCACCCTGGTCCCCCAGAGCCTCTCCGGCATTGGCACAGAGATCTAGCACGGGCTGGCTTCTGTCACATGGTCTCACCCAATGTTTCCCCAACTTGAGTCATGGCGTGTCACCACCATGGCTTTTGTCATATCCACATGCCGCCAGCATTATTATTTCTTCCATATGATCTAGTCAATTGGCTCGCTTTTCCTATGAATGTATTTGAAATGAATGGCTTTGTGTCACTGCAGGGAGGGGAAAACCAGGACCACGTGCCATCCTGCGACACAGAAAATGAATTCAACAAAAACAAAAAGTTTGTAAAAGTCTATCTAGAGACTACTGCTTACCAGAGGCCCTGAGCTCTCTGTCAACAAAAGGAAAATGGGAGGGGGCGGGGCGCTAAAGACTTTCTCCAGATGCACTTGGGGCTGAGAGCGGCTGAGAAGGGGATGCCAGGGGCTCATGGGTTTCAGTGTTACTTAAGGCCACATCTATGTTCCGCGTTAAATCACCTTGAGTTCCAGGCATAAACATCTCAAGTACCCCTAGAGGACTGTCACCCACACTTCAGGAAATACGGACAGCAAACCAGGTCTGTGCAACCAGGGCAAAAGTTCAAAAACTGGGGAGGTGGAGATAAAAATCACAGGCAAATCCCAATAATGACAGCCAACCTCATCTTCAAGCCCATAGTGTACTGCGGGCCCTCTGCTTTAACTCCTTCCCCACCATCCCACAAGCTGCTCAACACATGGGTCTCCCCAAAGCACTCTGCTCACACCAGCTCCCTGCTCAAAACACCCCACAGCCCCCTTCTGCCTGAGTATTAAGCCCAACTCCTTAGCATGGAATCCAAGGCCATCCGCCGCCCAGCCACAAACTTTACTTGTGGGGATTTACCACCAGCAGACTCTCGAAACTGTTCAAACCAGTCCTTGACATGTCCAATCCCACCGGCATAAATAGGCATCCTGTCGGAAATGATGGCCAACACCATCTTAGCATCCTTTAGAGAAGTGGACTTCACAGGGGGCAGCCCTACCCTGGGGTATATAAAGCCTTCCCCAGGGGTACACAGGCAGGAAAAGTACAAGGGATTCAGCTGAAGATCCTGTTTCCATTTCCACTCTTCCCTGCTCTGCCTGAGAATGTGTCTCAGTCTAGATGGCATGACTGCTCTCCTTCCCCACTTCCCTCTTCACATTGGTCCTTCTCCTGCTTTGCAGAAGAAAGACCAACTTCCTCATCCAGAATCTGACTATGGCCTAGTGCCCTTAAATGTCAAAATATCTGGGTGCCAAAAAAAAATGGACAATTTAGAATGTTGGTGTTAGCAAATCTTCCTTTGGGATCCTGAACCCTTGCTACTCAAAGTGTGGTCTGTGGACCAGCAGCATCAGCATCACCAGTGGGCTGATTAGAAAAGCAGAATCTCAGACCCCAACCCAGAATTTCTGATTCAGAATCTGCATTTTAGCAAGATCCCCAGATGGTCCTATGTACCTTAAAGTATGAGAAGCACTGCCGTCAACTATCCCCATCCATCTCATTATGAGAAGCATTTCCCACACTATCTTACTTTTATGTTTAGTAATTATCAGATGTATAAAATACCCATATTATTTTGATGAACTGTGTATGTGATCACTGTAATGACAAATCAATCCAAAAGAAAGATACTTAGAGTTCTATGGGCAAAGGAAAAGTTTTCAATGTCTATTTCAGTTTACATACATGTTTTAGATCAAAAGAAGTATGATAGAGTGGGGTGCCTGCGTGGCTCAGTCGGTTAAGCGGCTTCCTTCAGCTCAGGTCATGATCCCAGGGTCCTGGGATCGAGTTCCACATTGGGCTCCTTGCTCAGCGGGGAGCCCGCTTCTCTCTCTGCCTGCCGCTCCCCCTGCTTGTGCCCACTCTCTCTCTCTCTGACAAATAAATAAATAGGATCTTTGAAAAAAAATTGAGTTGCATACTGGAGATCTGTGCATTCTACTCTAGATAAGAGTAGAATGCAATAAAAAGGCAAAATAAAAAATTGCTCTATTATTTCATTTCAATTTGATACATTTAAGAGAGTAGTGTAATTTTATTCTACAAGACCAATATTTACAATATGGTAGAAATGATATCCTCTGTAACTACTTATAATGAAACATTTCAGATGTCAAGTTAAAATGTACGAGGCAAGAGAGTTTTTTTCCCCCTGAGTTCACTTAGAGGGTAGGCAAGCAAAAAAGTTTAAAAACTGCTTTAGAGCCCACGTCAAGTACTGTTCCTCCCAGGGAGTCCTGGACTGCTTGACCCTCCCAGCCCTACTGTGAACTCCCATGGTACTTCAGTTTGTCTCTGACTGCCTCCTGCCATTGTTTCAATTCTTTCATGAACGTGTGTCATATCCACCTTAGCTCCTCAAATGAAATTTAAGCTCTGAAGGTGGATTTTCCCCGCACATAATAGATCATCAGGAAATCAATATCTGTACAGCAAATTACTATTTATTTTTACCAAGTGCTTTTACCCAAGGATATTAAGTTTTGTGATTATGGGAGTCTCGCTCGACACAAACATACACACCCCACACAACACACACACACACCATACACCACACCCCACACACAGCACACCACACACATACCATACACCACACCCCACACACCACACCGTACACACACACACACACACATTTACAACATGACATTATTATCCATTTTTACAGAGGAAGAAAGCCCAGCTCTGTGTAAACTACAATCAGGAACTTGTCCAAGGTCACATTTTGTTCCCTGAACTATAACAAGCTACACAGGTATGCCTATGACATGGCCTACGTGTTGAATTGGATCGAGATGCCATCATTCCCCAAAGGGCAAGCCCTACCATATCAATACATAGTTATAAAAATACTTTCCAAATATTTTTCAAATTACTTTCAGACCATCTACTATTTGGGACTCAAAATAATCTTAATAGTAATCACTAGCATTTATGGAGCCCATCATTTGTTGCAGGCCCAGTGCTGACTTCTTTGCATATTTATCTCACGTCATCTGTCCCCCATAAGGCAGGTGCTACTAGCGTTCCCCACTCTCCCCCCAGAGATGAGGAGGAAGAGGCTCAAAGGTAAGCAGCCTCTGTTCATAACAGCTGGTGTGTTGCAATTAATCTAGGAATCAAGCCCAGATCCCTCAGATGGCAGCAACCACCCTCCAGATACCTAACTAGACTGAGAACATACTATTTTTTTAAAAGACTTTAATTCATCTGTATTCAACCTCTTGTATCCTTTTTGTGACAAGATGGTGGTCTAAAGAGAATTATTAATCAGAAATGCTGCAGCCACTGCTTTCCTGCTTTACAGGGCATAATCAGGAGCCAGTGTTCTCATATTTTAGAGGAAAAGCTCATAAATCACACTACGATGACAGGAGAAGATTTGGAAGGAGCAGAGAATCTCCCCCAATTCATACCACCAGCTGGAGCCTCCAGGCTGGGTCGTGCATAGAACCTTCCTGCAACTTGGCCAGCTCAGAGTCAAACAAATCCTTCTAGCAGGAAGCGGTCCTGGCCGGATCTCCGACTGCAGCTTGCCCGTGCTCTGGAACCCTGAAAGGATTTGATTACCCATCTCGTCATTTCTAACTCCCTTCCAAGTTGCTCCTCCTTGGAGCTGGCACAGATTTGGGTTTTCTCCTTGAAGATTTCAAAGGAGCAACAAAAATAAAATAAAACAGAATTGCTCCCAAGGCTCAGACTCCATTCAGCAGACATTTCCCCCAGGGGGCGGTTCGAGCCACAGTACAGCACAGAGCAGCAGAAAAATTAAAAGCCGGTGGGGCAGGGAGGAAAAGGGGTTTGGAGAGTCAGGAAAAGCTCTTTGCTGTCAGAACCTTGGAACTGAAAAGTTGACCTCTCCAATTACCTAGTGCAGCCTCCTGGTTTTACAGTTAGAGGCATGAGGCCCAAAGAAGGGGCAAAACTAATTCTGACACCTGGACTCCTGAAGCACAGCTCTCCATGGCACTCTCCTGATAAAATTCTCCATAGCTCCCTATTGCTTATAGGATCAAAGCCAAACTCCTCTGACATTCGAAGCCCAAGAATCTATAGCCTGCCTATCCATTCCCCATAAGGCTCTTGCTGCTTCTCCTGCAATAGTCTCACGGAAAACCACTGTGGCTGTGCCAAAGCCACCGCCCATGGCACCACTCAGGGCCACCAGCCTTAGGGTGAACAAGTTTCCCCACGCTCCCCACCCCATTCACAACTACAACCCCACAAGCAGAGGCAGCAGGTCTTCTTCAGGTTCAAGGTAATTAGAAATTCTATTTTAAAAAAACTAATAGATTGTTTTTTAGAGAAGCTTTAGGTTTATGGAAAAATTAACCAGAAAGTACAAAGAGTTCCCACATACTCTCTCTCACTCCCAGGCGCAGTTTCTCCTATTATCAACCTCTTGCATTGATTGGTGTATTACATCTATCACAACTGATGGACAAAGCTAATATGCTACTATTTACTTAAGTCCAGAGTTTAGGTTAGGACTCACTCATGGCGTGTTTGGACAAATGCATAATGTCATGTGGCTATCATCATGGTATCGTACAGAGTATCTTCACTGCCCTAAAAATCCCCCATGTTCCACCTATTCATCCCTTCCTCCCTCCTCTCTACACCCCCTGAAAACTACTCAGCTTTTTACTATCTCTCTAATTTTGCCTTTTCCAGAAAGTCATATAGTTGGAATCATACATTATGTATGCTTTTTAAGCTGGCTTCTTTTACTTAGCAATAAGCATTTAAAGTTCCTCCATGTCTTTTTATGGCTTCATAGCTCATTTCTTTTTATCACTGGATAATACTCCATTGTATGGAATAATATTCACAGTTTATTTATCC